AAAATCTTTAATCTATTGAAATCAATATTTTTCTTCAAAAACTTCAATATAAAACAAAACGACATCGTTAGCTTCACGTACAAAACATTTAAGCATTGAGTACATGAATATGATTCAAAAAATTCCCAATATTCAAAAAGAAATGTCAATAACCTTTAAAATCAAACAAAAAATAGCACAAAGTCTGTGAATTAACCTTTTTCCTCGAATTTCACAATGTTGTTGAACTTGTTCAACTGATTTATTTACAAACTTGATTATTAAATAAGGCTAGCAACTTTTAATACTTTATTTACTAGAAACTTTTAGTTTAAACGCTTCAAATTTCAAAATTCAGATTTTGTAACTTTACACCCCTTTAATCTTACACTTCGAAAAGTTTTCTTCGATTATTTCCTTGTAGACACAGAATTAAAAAGCTATTATCAAATTACTCGAGTTATAAATATAGCAAAAATCGAAGTAAAGCCTGAAATTTGACTAAAATACTCTTGAAAACTTTGAAAAATTCCAAAAATATGAAAATGTTTTGTAAAAGGGTCAAAATTACGCTAAATATGCTTACTATGGTATTTACTTGAATGCATTAAGTCATAAAAAGATTCCAGAGAGAAAGGGAAATTGTTTTCTCAGGAGAAAATGATAAAAATGCTTGACATAATAAGAAAATGAATGAATTACCTTCCCTTCAATCAAGATTACTTGCTTTTTATCTTTTTATGTCTTAAACTTTCTGTGCATGCTGTAATATTTTTTTATGAATCTTAAGACTTTTAAGTACCCTTTTACAAAGGCAATTTCATTATTTATTTAATCCATGTGCATTTTAAATGTCATGTTAAAGTAATGACATGTATGCTTATTGCTCGGAAGTTCCATCTAAAAGCATAAGTTTCGTACATTAAATAATAAATGAAGTGAGAAAATGACATTAATATGTAGAGATGGATGGAGAGATTGCAGAAAAAGATGTAAAGATAATGATTTCCTCAGTCATTCATCATAGAAGATTATGACTTAAATGTTGTTTTTATCCTTCCATAAACTTTCCCATTTCAATCTCATCATAGACTAATCATAGTACAACATAAATAATTCATAATCATTCCAATAATGATGATCATGATGTTTAGATATAAATTAGTTCGAATGACAGATAAATCAAGATCAGAGGTTGCTGAACAAGTATAGAATAATATTAACAACTGAACAGTTTTCATATTGCGCCTTCTCAGCAGTTCCGTAATGATAAAGTTTTTCTTCTTTCTGGGAATTCATTTGAGTCGTCGACGTGCCTTGTTGAGTTGGAAAATTGCAAATTACAGCACAAATTGCATTAGATGGGATTGGTTACACATGTTTACGAAGTATACTGTTTGGTTGTATCATTTATGGAAAATTGGATATAAATTATGGTGCAAAAAGGTAAAAAAAATTTATGCAGAATCTGCTTATGTCATTTTTCTCATAATGGAAGTAAGGCAATGGTTTTATAGAAATTTGCAGGGAAGGGACAGAGCAAAAATCGTTAAGAAAAAAAACGCAAAAATGTTCCAATGTTAAATTTTTTTTCCAATACAAAGTGGAGTACTTGGAAATTTCATCACAGTAAACAATTTTGGGTTTTTTTTTCATAGCAATTTTTGCTCTGTACCCCCCCCCCCCCTTGAAATTTGAAAAATCATTCAGTAAATACGAATGGTCTTTTAAATTATGTTTTAAAGATTTCTGTGGATGATTTTTGAGTTTTTTGGGTTGAATGTCTTTTAAAAGTTGTATCATGGGTTATAGAGGTCGTTTTGTGACCTATAAATTCTAAAGCTGGCTCTGTCTAGCTATCACAAGACTGCTTGAGTTTGAAACCTTATGATTAGTTATTTGAGACTATCTTGAAGTCATCAACTAGATGAAAACAATTGATCTTGTTATAATTGCTCTTAAAGTAGCTATGCCAATATAGTAGCTTTAACCATTATAGTAGCTATACCAATATATTAGCTAAACTAATATAGTAGGTATACAAATATAGTGGCTATGACAACAAAGTAACTATACCAATCTAGTAGCTATGCCAAAATAGTAGCTATGTCAATAAATTTTGAAAGCTATGAATCGACACTACAAATTGTAGTCCCCAATTGTAATAAATTACACAAAATAACGTATGAAACATCAAACACAACACCCCACCCCATTTACACAGGGCCATAAAGTCTAGAAAGGAAGTCAGACAAACATCTCACAAATGCGACCTTCAATACTCAAACTAAATGTCACTTTGAATACTTCCAAATCACTTAACAAACAAAAATAAAATCTAGATTCCGACAAAAGAATCCAATAAGTCAAAATAAATGCCAACTCGAGCAATATTCTTATAAAAATGTGTCAGAAATCAGAGCTAAGGGGAAATAGGGCTAATAGAATAAAAAAATATTATGTAGATAATAAATAATCCAGTGAGCATAAACAACAACAATGGGCATGGAGATGTTGATATAAAACAAAGTTAAATACAAATTTTTCAGAAACATCAGCACTAAGGAACATTTATTACACATGTAGAACATTGATAATATATAACTCGAAAGGAAGGATATCCTGTAAAAATACTCTAAAGATGTATGTATAGATACATAAAAAGTGAATCTATATGATACAGACAAAAGAGATATTTATTTCTGTTTTATCAGCATAAAAAATAGAGAGATATTGACTAAAAGATTTGAGTGAGATAGTGATTTGTTTCCGGAATTTCCCGTTGACTTTAGCAATATATTATTCGTATGGAAAAGAAGTGTGTGCTTTTGCTGTGTGTGAATTGTAGGTGGAGTTGACATGCAAGTAAACATGAGGGAGATTCCATTGAACATATGTCAACACTCGTTAATACACATCCACGATAGATGTTCTTTCCCCATCAGCTATTGACAATAATGCGTAAAATGTTGAAGAAAAACTTTTTTATTTTGTTAATGTTTGAACGATTTAATGCCTTTACGTATTGTGGATGTGTATTTTTGGGTTTTTCCTTCGTTTTTCCTCTTTTTCACAAATTTGACTACCATTAACTTGATATTCAAGCATTTTGTGTGATAAAAAGCACCAAATGTGTCCACTTGCTTAAGTGTTAGTCATTAGAATATTCAGAATGGAAAGTAAAAGTGTCATTATGACAATTTGAAATAGGTTAGAAAGATTTTTTTGATTGTACGAATTTCAGAAATTTTTAACGAACATTTAAGATTCAAATATTTTAACATACGCCATTTTGAAAATTTGTCTCACTTCGAAAAGTTTTTATTGAAATTCAACCTTATTTTACACATTTACAATAGATTATCCTTTCTAAAATTAAGTTTACGATAGCAAAAGCCTTTCTACAATTTACAAAACCGCCTATAGCTTGCTGTTTCAACAATATTTACTATAACAATGATTTAGTAAACAAATATGTAAATTAATCAATCTATCAACTTGTTATTACTTAACTAATTAGTCAATCCGCAGGATAAACAAGAAAGAGCAAACATCAATTAGTAATAAAGTCAAATAGACTGACAAAATGAATGAAACAGGAAATTTATCATTCTGGAAGTTTGTACGAAAATTGACCATTCAATGTCCATTAGGAGTGTCGGCTTTTAAAAATGGAATTCCTCTTTATTTGTATATTATGGGAAAAAAGTCATCAATAAATGTTTATTCAACCTTTTCTGGATTGTTGTTGATTGATGGGAAATGTATGTTGTTAGAAAACTTAAGTAACTGAGGTGTCTTCCTGTAAATCACTTTCTACAAAGAATTTATCAAATACAAGCCTTTTATGTTTATTGTTTGCCTTTGTTACACGCGCCTTGTTATTTTCTCGTTGGAGTGGGATAAGGAATATTTTGTTATCCCTGATATTTTGGAAATGGGAAGTTGTAAATTGTTTGTTTCAGAAATTTGAGAAGTTTTACATCAAAAGAATATTTTCCGAGTTGAACAAAATTAGTTTTAATTGTGTTTTACTAAAGAAACGGCAAAATCAATCCAGAGTTTGAAATTCTTCTTCTTTCAAAAGACTTTTTAAGTCAAAAACCAAAATTTCAAACTGTTTTTTAATACGAAATTTTACGAACGGCTTATAAAAGTTTGAATTTTTGAACAATTTCAAAAATTTAACATTTTAACGGTTTAAATTAAGATTTTTAATTGAACTGTTAAAAGCCTCAAAACTTTGTAACCTCGAGCACTTCTTCCACTTATATTTTATTCCTTATTTACAAGAGCTCATTATAAGCGAGTAAAAACTCGAGTATATTTTTAAAATGTAATCGTAAATTAATCAATAAGCTCTTGATTACCTGAAATATGTGTCTATTAATTAATTTTAATTGAATCTTCATTACCTCTCGATGAAAGAAGGAAAATTAATTAAGTAGAAATGTGAATTTGTTGATTAAATTTTAAATGGAATTTTCCATGAAACACTTTAGAATAATTAATCAATAAATTAAATAAATTCACTTAGTCGAGTAAGGAATTTTCAATTGAGTACTCAAAGGATTAGAATAACATTAAAGCAGCAATTGTTATCCAAACTTTATCATTGACTCGAATGATGTAATGTGATGAAAAAATTATTGCAGCAGTTCCCGAATGAAATGAAAAAGTTATTAAAATTATTTTAATAAAAGTTTATTTAAAAATCAAAAAAAAAAATCCATTGAAATATGAGATCCATCCGTCGTTTTATCCCCTAGAGATTGTTAATAATTCATAATTGAAAAATAATTGTTATTAAAATTGTTTTGAGTTTTCCGACTGCAATGAATCCCCTAGACACAGGATTGTAGGATCTGAGCATTTTGTGGTTAAAAGAAATCTTGCCCGCATTTAATGAAGCCACAAACAAATCATGGAATTAAGCACAAACTATATAAAATCACATTAAATATTCAAATTTCTATTAAACTTAATACTTACCTGTTATCCCTGTTTTTATCTACTTATAGATTACTCACATGGAGGATATCAGGAGATTGAAGATGAGCTTCATGATCATGACTCACAAAATATGATTCCAACAGAAGATCCATTTAAGCTCTTAACGAATTTAAAACGTTTAGAACCATATTTTGATCCGAATGTTAATCAAAATGTAACAGCGCTGGTTGGGAAATCGGCTTATTTAAATTGTGTTGTAAAGAATTTAGGAAATAAAACAGTTGAGTAGAAATTTCTGTTTATGATTTACGTATATGTGCTGCCTGTGTAGGTTTAACATTAAATTTATCTCATTATAAGCCTTTATGAAAAGTTTTGGGAAAAATGTTTTGTTGCGTACGATGTGATGCTGTGGTTTTTTTTTGTCAGAGCGCATTTTAAAGGAACTTCACGAGTTTTGACTTTTAATATTCAGTTACTTAAGTTTAAAGTTCTTTAGAAATTCAAATTTTGATACTGATTGATTGTTAAAATTAATGAAATTTTTAAATTCGAATTTTTGATCAAAATTAACGAACATTCGAAATTCAAATTTTTGGTCAAAAATCATGAACAATCCCACAAAGAAGTCAATAACTATCCCGAATAGCACAAGTTGTTTAATCGAGACGAAATTGTCATCTTAATTATCCGACTTGTGCTATTCGGGTATCTAACCTCAAAAAACACAGTCCCTAGGTTAATATAATCAAAATAGAGTATTTCAATTTTATTATATTCACACTGTTTTCACGTGTGAATCTATTGGTTTTGTTCAGATTGAAAAATCAGTTTTTCGCATTTTGCGAGGAAATGTAGCAACATATGAAAAGTTTGTGCCTGAAATTTCACATCTTCTGCAAAAAAAACAGATTTCAAATTGGTTGGGGCATTGCTGAGAAAATCGCAAAATATGCTTTCTGTAAGCAAGCAAACAAGCAAACAAGAAAGTTAATCCGCAAGAAATCTCAATAACGAGACATTGTAGAAACTTCTAGTTTTTTACATTTGATCTGTGCTGCTCTATAAAAGAGCTGTATTGTTTTTGGGCAAGGTAGGAACAGCCGTTGCTTCAGAAAAAGCAAAAAACTTCCCTTTCTTACGAATTTTTCAAAAAAAAGTTGACTGTGATTTTTATAAAATTAAACTTTGGATGAAAAAAATTTTCAAAACACTTTTAAATTATGTTCGTTAAGCTTTAAACTTTCAAACATATGAAGCTCAGCTGACTCGCTAGCTTTATACCTTCAAACTTATGCTGAGCAAGTCTTGGTCTATCCATAAGACTTTTGATGGTACGGTGTGAATATATCCGCATGGGTTTCTACCCGATACACTAGTTTTTAAACTAATTGTCACTTGAAAAATCCCACAAAAAAGTATTCCCATTAAAATAATTGCCATAACAAGCTTAACTTTGTTACAATTTACACAGAATAAGATTTGTTTACGAACAATTTGAACAACTCAAATCCTCACCAAAAACTTTCTAGTTTTCAAGATGTAACTTCCAAATCTATTCAATTGGCAAGTCTCTGGGGAAAAAAAACAGAAACAAAATGAAAACATAAGCTCAGTTGTTCCTAGGAAAAAAGTTTTAAATTCCATTTTTGTGGTTTATCTTAGTCATATTGTAGAGGAATAATACCACAATGAATTTGTACCAAAATCTTTCGTGAGCTTAAAGTGAGATAAAAATGTATTTCCGTTTGGTTTCACTAAAAAATTTATTAACGAACAAAAAAAAAGACTGAACACATTCATTTTAATACCCAATTTAGGTATCATGGATTCGTGCGAGAGATCTGCATATTTTGACAGTTAGTACATACACGTACACAACAGATTTGCGTTTTCAAACGACTCATCATCGTACAACAGATGAATGGACATTGCAAATTAAATGGGTCCAAAAGCGTGATGCTGGATTATATGGTAAAATGAAATTTAAATACACTTTTTTTACCCGTGAATTTTATTTAATAAATTCCACTGTCCTGTGTGACATGAAAATAACAAAGTTACTAACGGGAAAATTCTCATTCATTTTTCATTCAGACTGTCAAGTGTCATCCCAGCCGATTAAAAGCTATTCTGTATATTTAAATGTAATTGGTAAGTGAATATCTGATGTGAACTAATTGGATACATTCCTAGAATCTGAAAGTTATTTAAATGAAGAACTTGTGCTGGATAATTAATTCTACAAATTTCAAGAGATTCTCTCGTTTCAATAGCTTTAAAAACATTTATTTCTATGAATTTATCATTCATATAATATTTATATTACATATAAACCTTCGCAGCAATTGTTCCTTTCACCATATTCAAATAAATTTATGAAATATTATTCCCAATGGATGTAAAATATTATTTATACATTTTAGCGTATTTTCCATGGAGATGTGTAGGAACAATAGACTTATTGTGCCATTCGGAGATTAGTTTACCATATATAGTATTAATTTTAAAAAGGAATTGAAGCATAAGGGGCCGTTCACTAATTACGTTCGCATTTTAGGGGGGAGGGGGGGTTTGAAAAATCATAACAAAATGTAACAAAGGGGGGGGGGGGGGGGTGTCAAGAAGTATGTAACGTTCTAACTGTCGTCTGTCTTTAAAAAAATTCACGAAAAAAAAAATTGTTTACAAATTCACACCAAAAACATTTTTTAAATTTTCCACCTTTTTAATGATTTATGAAAAATTATCAAAATAAAATAAATTATGAACGTTCAGGGGGGGGGGGGGGGGGGTGTGTGAGTTGTAATATATTGTAACAAGAGGGGGAGGGGGGTGAAAAAAGTCATTTTTTTGCGTAACGTAATAAGTGAACGGCCCCTAATTAATTTGAAGTTTATAATCACACTGTGGGTTGAGTGACCATCTTCTTTTTCTCTTAAAAACTTAATATTCGTTCGGCTGATTTATTATAAGATTCCTATGTCCTTAATGAGACCAATGATTTCCAAATAGACATGCTTGGGAAGTTTATAGAGTAGAGCAATCTTAGTAAGAAGAAAACAATCGATAAGAAGAACTAATGAGTCTTAAAACAGTTCCTCTAGCTCGCCTAACCCAAATTCAATGAAGGACCTACACAGGAATCATTTTCCCTAGACAAAAAAAGCCACTCATAGCTAATACTGATTTATCCTCATAAAAAGGAATCAGATGGTTCAATGCATTTTAAATTCTATAATCACTTCTGCAAAGTACCAAAAGCTTATGAATATTTTCCATGGAAACAGCGCTAGCAATCATAACCTCACTTTATTAAAAATTTGTTACTCTTTATTCCCACTTCTATTTATTTTTATTTACATGATTTTATTTTTTAATATTTTTTTTTTCTATATTCATCTACATCTCTTATGACTCCTTTATAAATATATATTCTCTCTCACAAATGATGATGCATTCATGTATATAAACACAAAATAATTCATTGGTTGGATGCTTAAACTGATGTTATTTGCAATAATGCTGTGAAAAAAGATCTTGCCGATAGAAAGATGATGAATAGACGATTCCATTTGCCATATGATGACTTCATATCAACTCAATATGATGAATATCAATCCTCTTCTTTATTTCATTTGTCAGCCAGCGCTGCGCACAATAGTGATATATATGGAAGAATGTATTCGGATCGAATTCATCTTGGTGAATTTTAATTTTTATTATTTCCTTGCTTCTTCCATTCCATTTGAATTCTGACTACACACAAAAAAAAAGACAGAACTAAAAGTTGAAGCTTTTCTAACACTTTTTTTTTATTGGCAACAAAAAGAATTTTTATCGATGCTTTTAGAGATTCTCATTCGGAGCTTTTAATGCATTAGATTCATCTATGGATCATACATAATACTAAAAGCCTTCGCATTCCTCTGCCTATTTTACATAATCGATTTTAAAAGATAAATCCTTTATATAGGGGAATCGTCTGCATGAATGAGGGAAAAAACAATTTTCTTTCTCATTTAATTGATGGCTCGGAACTGAGAAAAGGAAGATGAAACATTTTTTGTGTGTGTGCAATTATCGATGAAATTTATATTTCTTTTTTATGCTTATCATCATCTCATATCTTTCATTCTAATTTAATTTATAGCAGATATCATCAAAGCCATTACATTATGCATATTAACGATCCCCTCATCCTCCCGATCCCATCCACAACATACAATTTAAAATAACGACGAATAATAAAAGTAAGGCAAAGTAAATGAATGATGAAGGAACCACAGAGTGCTACAATGTCATTCTCTCATTTTTAAATTTGTGTCAAATTTTTATGCCTTTTTGCTCCGCGCGCTGTGTGTTTGCTTTTGATAATAATAAGACCATGCTTCTGACACCACGACTACTTATTAACCTTTTGTTGCTCGCCACTGGTGACTGTGATGGTCGTAAACTTTACTTCCTTCTTATTCTTGCTTATCACATTCCCTCATTGTGTCCATTTATTTGATTTAGTTATTCATCCTGCATGTGGACATAATATTATGAGAAAATCTCCATTTTATTTCATATCCTGAGTCTCATATATAAATTAACAGCATCTCCATTGTTACTTCTCACATTCTCGTTTGTATTATTATATTATTTCGATAAACATTTTGTTTTATTTGTATTTTGTGAGCTTTTTGAGTAATTCAGTCATATTATCTTGTTGATAAATACATTAAGCATTAACAGGAACATTAATGTGATTTTGTGTAATAAAATTATTAATTTAATTATCTTTTTTCTCACCCATGAAATGTTTTTTGTGTCTTCCTTCTTCTTGCTCCGGTTCATTGTGTACTGGAATGACATTGATTACAATTATAATTCTACTGATGATGATGATGCTGTTAATGGTACACAACAGTCCCTACAGCAGTTATCATAGGCGGTCCAGAATATTTTATTAGTAAGGTAATTAGTCTAATTAATTTTTGCTATCATCATTAAATTATGGTCACTCAACTTATCTCTCGGACTGATGTGTTACTATATCTTCTCATTATCCACTTTATATCATGTGCCATTCTGTACTCTGTATCTCTCTTATTTTATGTTTTATTCAATTAAATAACAGGGCTCTACAATTAATCTCACATGCATCATCAAATATTCTCCAGATCCACCAAATCACACATACTGGCATTTCAAAAATAAGGTAAAAAATGTTTTTCAATTTTAAGGCAGCAAGAACTGACAAAAAATTTATCTCCTATGCCAACATTGAAATTGCTTTTCATTTATTTAGATTTTAAGTTTCGATTCGGAACCGAGATTGTCGCAATTAAGCGAGAATGGTGACACATTTACAAATTATCTCCTGATATCAAATGTGAATTCAAACGACAGTGGGAAATACACTTGTGCTCCATCGAATGCTGATCCAGCATCTATTATGGTTCATGTTGTGAATGGTAAGTGCTTCAAATTACATGCTTACCGCATTTTAATTAATTGTACTATTTCCCATTACTTTTCCATTTTCTTCTTACTCTTCTCATCATACACAGGAGAAAATCCCGAAGCTTATTCAAGTTCATCACAATTGTCGAAATGTTGTTATGCGCCTTACACGTTTATCACATTGTCACTTCTCCTTCATTTATTATATAATTATACTGTCGTGTTAAGTAGAAATTCAACGAAATTAGATAACAGTTATGATAACAACGTTAAAAGTCACATGAATCTTGAAGAAATTAGATGACAAACTTCATTTGCTGAATTTCTTAAACTCAAATAAATAAAGGAACTTTACAGTTACGAAGCGATTGGAATAAGCAACTTTCTCCTTTCCTCATTAAAATAATTTTGTAAACACGATTAATGTTCATTCACAATGTCGATAATGTTGTAGATACATCTAAGATTTTAAACCTACATAAAATGAATTATGGTTTCTTTTTATAATTTAGAAGTCATTAAATTATGAAACATTGCTAATAAGTTTCTTTTGAAAATGTAAATTTAACGGTTTTTAAAAATTTAAATTAAATTTATGACCTGAAGTTGGTGCAATATAATTATTATTTTTATTTTTTGAAGTAAAAACCAGTAAAAACATGAAGTTTTTGACCTTAAAACTTTGTAAAAAAAGTTAATTTCAATTGTTTAAGTATCTGTAAGTTAATATCAATACTTAATGCATGAAATATTCATTTTAAACCTCTTAAAAACTTAGAATTTAAAGAAAATAATTTTCTTAAAGACTGAACACTTTGCAGTCAACTTCGCTCATTATCATTTTAAATTTTGAATTTTTAAAAAACCGTTAAATATTTGAAATACACATGAATTTGATGGAAATGAACAGAATGAAGGAACCAAAAGTTTTTAATCTAATTTCACGTCAGCTTACTAGGCAGTTTTCTCGTATCTTAACGATGCAATGAAACCAAAAGAATTGTTTACTTTTCTGCCTACAACAATTTTAAATTCCATTAGAATGAAAAATCATTGGCAACAAAAGGGAAAGAATCCCATTAACCGAAATAAAATTTTGTGAAAAGCATGCTGAAAAAAGTTTTCAATCCTTCTTCAACAGCTGAATGATTTTTAATTCACATGGTAAATTTTCGCTCATACTTTTTTCTCCCCATAACTTTTTTCTGTATATTCCAATCTACTAAATTTAATTTATATTGTTGCTGTTGTTATTATTATTATTTTGCCTTAATTATTGTTAAATACATTAAGTACCGAAAAATAAATGTGAGGAAACCCATTCACTCAATAAATTACTTCCCTTTGAGCTTTTTTTGCCTTTTAAACCCACAAAAAAACTAGTGTATCGGGTAGAAACTCAATGCGGATATATTCACACCGTACCATCAAAAGTCTTATGGATAGACCAAGATTTGCTCAGCATAAGTTTGAAGGGTGGGCATGAAGTACGGCCGAGACCCATATCGACACAGTTCAAAAGTTAAACCTAATTTATGTTATAATTATGTCAGCAACAAAAACACTTAGTTTGAATTTTGTCACCCTCGAGAACACTTTGAACCAGTATAGCTGATTTTGGTCAAAATCTCGACCATACTTCACACTTGTTTGAATCACATTTTCTTGTAAATGTTAAAATATTATTAAAAAGTAATTAAAACTGAATTATGTCGCTATTTAGTCAAGTGTTTTAAGATAAAGAATTTGTTTTTTGGTTTCCACAGTGAAGAGTATGAACAAAATTCAGATGGGGTAGTCGAAATTTTAGATTTCGATTTTTTTTAAGCTATCCATTACAAAAAGTAATATTGGTGTGTGATTTATGTCAGAATTATGTCAATTCAAATAAAACATCCAAAAAATTTTTTTGAGCAAAGAATCAAGTAGGAAATACATTTTCAATTTTGGACTAGGGGCGACCCTAGTCAAAATCAATTTTGTCACTTTTTTTCTTCGAGGGTTTATCCAAATGGATTGAAACTTTGCATAAATATTCTAGTGCTTAAAACAAATACAAATAAAACATCTTAAAATTTTTTTGAGCAAAGAACCAAGTAGGAAATACATTTTCAATTATGAACTTGGGACAGGTCTAGTCAAAATCTAGTTTTTCACTTTTTTTTCTTCGAGGATAAATCCAAATACAGTAAAACTTTGTATGAGCATTCTAATCCTCAGGTCACACATTTCTGAATTAATAAAAATCATTTTTTTGGACAAAATTTTAAGTCACGTTGTTTATGAATGTACAACCAAATTTATAAAATTTGGGTCTGACGACATATAGAATAAATTTCTTCCTTTAGATATTTAAAACTGTTTTGTATAAATATTAGTATACTCACTCAAAGTTTCACTGTAATTGGATAAACCCTCGAAGAAAAAGTGAGAAAATTGATTTTGACTAGGGTCGCCCCTAGTCCAAAATTGAAAATGTATTTCCTACTTGGTTCTTTGCTCAAAAACATTTTAGGATGTTTTATTTGTATTTGTATTAAGCACTAGAATATTTATGCAAAGTTTCAATCCATTTGGATAAACCCTCGAAGAAAAAAGTGACAAAATTGATTTTGACTAGGGTCGCCCCTAGTCCAAAATTAAAAATGTATTTCCTACTTAATTCTTTGCTCAAAAAAATTTTTTTCATCGTAAGTTTAATTTTAAAAAAAAAATCACAGTGAACTTTTAATTTGAAAAATTCGTAAGAAAGGAAAGTATTTTACTTTTTCTGAAGCAACGGCTGTTCCTACCTTGCCTAAAAACAATACAGCTTTTCTATAGAGCAGCACGGATCAAATGTAAAAAACTAGAAGTCTCTACAATGTCTCGTTATTGAGATTTCTTGCGGATTAACTTTCTTGTTTGCTTGTTTGCTTGCTTACAGAAAGCATATTTTGCGATTTTCTCAGCAATGCTCCAACCAATTTGAAATCTGTTTTTTTGCAAAAGATGTGAAATTCAAGGCCCAAACTTTTAATCTCTGAACATTTTAAGCTATCTTGATCCATATCCTCACAAAATTCAAGAAACTGATTTTTCAATCTGAACAAAAACAAAACATTCACACGTGAAAACGGTGTGAATATAAAAAAAAACTTTTTCCCATTTTTCATTCTTCATTTTCTTAATTTTAGAAAATTTCTTTGATACTCCAGTAAATTATTATTTTTTCAAAGGTTCCTGTTACCAAAAAATGTTTCTCATTTCTCAAAAAAAAAAATATTAATTAAGTTTTTTTAATTAGCAACTCTTTACGTACGCACTTAAAACTTCTCATATTACATCGAGGCATAAGCCTACATCATTCATCTCCACTCATTTTCATCTTCCCCATTAACACATTGTTTGTAAATTTCTAAGAACATTTCATCAACAGAGAAAGGGGTTGTTCACTTATTATGTCACGTTTTAAAACTAGTTTGTTGCCCCTTCAACTGATTAAAAGGGTTCTGATGAGCAGATCAACAGCTAGAATTCAAGCTCAAACAGTAATGTTGAAAAACAACCAACACACCCCCCCCCCCCCACCCCCTTCTAGATCGAAGGCTTTGATAGAAGGAGGGGGTCTACGGGTGCCTATATTCTAATTTGTAGGAACCGTTCAATAAATTACAAATTGTGTAATTAAAGAAATTATCAAGAACAAGCTAAAGAGAACATCCTTCTCCTCAATCCAACCCCCCCCCCCCCCCCCCCCTCCCCCCCTCTAATAAAATGCCAACTTAATATCTGAACAACCCCTCGAAAATGAAGCAGGAGCAAAAAAGAAATAAAAAACTTAAAAATCCTTTTGCGATATTATATTCCAAATTATACATGATTGTTCTTAAGAGTATGTATACAAAATGTAAATGAAAAAGCATAGATGAAATGGAATCAATTTATAAGATGAAAAAACAAGGATAAAAAATAAAAATAAAGCACGTGGAAAATGTTAATCGAAACTCGTTTACTTCTTAATTGCCAATAAAATTTTTTTATTTTTCAGTTGAATTCAGGAAATTGCTTTTGGGTTAAGGATTATTTCACTTTTTTTATTTCGTCTTTTTTCATTTTCATTTCAGCATATCCAAGGAAATGTAATTGAAAAATATTTTTCATGTGGTGAAGATTTTCTTTTCGTCGTTCTTTTTCTTTTCTTTTCGTAATTTTTCATGTCTTGAATATTTCCCCAGCTAATTTAAAAATCACAACGAGATGAAAAATAAAATAAATTAGTTTTGTGAAGTTGGGCTGACTTTTGAGATGAGAATATGAATTATTTCGAGAAGCAGTTTTCTACGAGCTGAATTGACGAACTTATCCATCACGTGTATGTAATATTACAACTGGAATTTATTATGAAGAACATTTTTGTGGAATTAATCTTAAGGAAGGCTTATGAAAGCACGAGTCTTTTATACTGCAACTTATTGTATTTATTTTCCATCTGAATGTATTAAGCTGATGTAGAACGAAATGTGTGCTTTTTTAAAAATCAAATAACCTTAGTAACGACTTTCTGAAATTTAAATTTTACTGAAATTTTAAAATGATCACAGTAGACTCTCATTTAGAGTAGAAAAAATCGCGAGAAAAAGTTCACATCAACAATCAATTGAAAACAGGCAGTTTAACAATCTAGTTAAGAATTTGTAAGTTTAATCGTTTCTTGTAAAGTATTTAAGCCTGGAATAACATCGAATGCTTCAATATAAGGTAAGTTTTTAAGGAGAAACAAAGCGAAATTCTCCGAACTGTTCACAGATGTAAATTTTCACATTTTCTATCGTCTAACCTTCTTAAATTCTAAGAATATCAATCAATATTTTCTCAAAATCCTCTTCTTGATCCGATTATTGACAGACTGAAAGGTTAAACGTTTAATACTTGTCATAAATTTGACACGTATCACAATAGCATATCAATGAGCATTTTCTCTCGCAATGCGTCAAAAAACTTAACGACAAACAATGATTTCAATAAGAACGTCTGTCAAGCGATGAAATTTTCATCGATAAAATATTCAATGAATTTATTTAATTCACTTCGCATAGCTTTAAAAGCTACAAACTATGACAAATCGTGACATGAAACATAATAATGTAATTTCGCATTCGTATTTTTTGTATTTACATCAGCAGAAGGTCGTACGTACTCAACAGCACGTACGGCAAACTACATCAAACAAAATATTAAGCCAACTTCAGAAAAATTAAAAAAATAGGATTTTCTATAAAATGAATTATATATTTTTTTTAAAGGCAGTAGAACTATGAGAAATAACTCAGAAATTGTTTTGAGTATCATTAGAAAGTTTGACAGCTTGTTTAACACACAACATTTATTGATCATCTTATTTACGCCTAGTACATTTTATTTCATATGTCATCATCATGAAAGTCATCCAATTCCCACTCGTATATATCATTCGAGTATGTATATTCATAGATTTATATAGACATCCATATAATATTGCTTGTGTTCGAAATAAAGATATCAAACTTTATGACAAAT